CAGGTGATTGTCTGATACAGATGATTGTCTTATACAGGAGATTGTCTTATACAGGTGATTGTCTGATACAGATGATTGTCTTATACAGGTGATTGTTTGTACACATGATTGTCTTATACAGGAGATTGTCTTATACAGGTGATTGTTTGTACACATGATTGTCTTATACAGGAGATTGTCTTATACAGATGATTGTCTTATACAGGTGATTGTTTGTACAGGTGATTGTCTTATACAGGTGATTGTTTGTACAGGTGATTGTCTTATACAGATGGCTGTTGGAGCAGGCTTGACGGTAACTATTCTGTGCTGATGGGCATAGGAAAAAATTGAAAGCAAAGCAAACTAAACTTAACACTCCGTACGTCGTGTTGTACTATCATATCCGTAAGACGTGGGGAACTCTGTGCCACCACTTAACCCTATCCGTACGTCATGTTTTACTATCGTATCCATACGACATGGGGAACTCTCTGCCACCACTCTGAGAAGAATACAACCCCGGGGGTACAAAATGACCCCAGGGCGTACGGATAGGGTCAATAAAAAACGACCCAATTTTTTTGTCTGGAGGAGGCAATTTGGTCTGTTCGCTTCTTGTATGTGTGAACAGTGTAAAGGTTAAGGAACACAAGGAAGGAAAATAGAACACAGACAAATGAAAAAATAAAAAAAAAAATTCAAACCCGAGGTTAACGAGTAGACTTAGCTTAGTTTGAGTTATTGACCAGGAACATGACACTGTGTTTTTCATTGGAATTAAAAACTTGAAATATTTTTTTGCTCTGACAGGGTGACCACCGATGAGCTATCATCTCACAACCCGACAAAAATGCCCCCGTGCAGCATTCCCACCGACATGTTTTTTTATTGGCGGGAGGAGTTGTGTCATTCTGGTGGACACATCCAAATGTGAGGCATCATGGTGAAATCAGGCGCTCGTCAAAATAATGAAATCAAAGATATCGGCGTTCTAATGGCAGAGGTAGGCCTACATTTTTTTCCTATTTTCTTGTTTAGGCTCAAAACCTTTTATGTCCATTTAAAAACACATTTTGTGTGAAGTTTACTGAGAAACACTGATTTAAGGCCAAAAAAAAGAAGTAAATTTTAAATTTCCAAGGACTCTCAAGCTATGGAAGTTACCAAACTTGGCGACCATTTTCTAATTAATTTTACCTCTGAAACCGGGCTACCCGCCCCTTCTTTAGTCACAAATATTTCAACTTGTATTCAAGATCGAAGGGTATGTTTTTCCCAGAAAAAAAGACAAATAAACAAGCTTTAAGATTATACCAACAACTCCATATGCCCAAAAATTGATGAACGCCTCATTCCACTACGCCGTGACACTAAATGGAATCCTCACTGACTGCCCCCAAACCCCCCCCACAACAATGCTGTATTTCAACAATCGACTTCCCGAGAAGCCGACAACTTTGGCCCCGGCTGTTTCTGGTTTGGTGGACACACAGGCTTACCCACACCCCCCGGGGCAGTGCCACTGACTGTAGTGTCTTTAGGCCATTCCCAAAGGAGGGACATTTCTCGCTCAAGCACAGTAGAATTGTAAATGGGGTGACTCATGTCACGCTCATAACTGTGCCTGATCTACAACAGGGAACTGCTGCTTTTCCTTTCCTGATCCTTCCTATTGTCATTTTCCTCTACTTCTTTTGTATGTTTGTCACTCTCTTGTGACCTGCTATTTCCGGGGTGCCTTGATAGTCGAAGCAGACCTTGTGCTGTTGAAGCTAGAGAGGTGAGCAGAATAAGTCTGATTCCCTGTAAAGACTTCTCTGTTGATACCCACCCCTTGGCACTCATATGACCTTATGCAGTTGCGAGCGCCGTAAAACCCTCTACTTATAAAAAAAAGAAAAAAGGCTTACCCAACACCCAACGCGGCCATTGTTCCTTGCGGGATGTTGTGGAAAGGGTCGCGGAGGTCACCACTCATGTTGATGCCAGCTAGGATTCCTGTGACCGTGGCGAAGAAGAGGCCGAAGATGGTGAAAAAACTTTCCCCGTCTTTGTAGGCCGGGCCGGAGTTGTTGACGAAGTTGATGTCGTTGTATCCCGTGACTCCGTCGTCTGTGGTCGTTGTTTGGTTGGAGGGGTCAAGAGGAGAACATCAGCACAATGGTGAGAATAACAATAACAAAAATAATAGATCTAATATTAATAATAAATGGGATAACAACAATAATGATATTAATATTGATGTAAATAATAACAATAATAATAGTGATAATATTAATAATAACATTA